ATCGTTTGCTCTCCATCGGCTTCGATGACTGCACGTGGAGCCGTACAACCTACGTAAACAAAGGATCGCTACGCAAATCGAAATAGTGTTACATGTTTTTGGATATTTTCTCAGTGAAACTAAACCATTCTATTAAAGATGTTTAGTTAGATGTGTAAACTCGTCAAAAATAAAAGAGTAAAAGAAATCTGTACATTATATTGAATGGACATTGCAAGATGTGACGAATCGTCACATTTTTCTGGCCTGTGGCAGAGGTACTATGCTGGCTTGCCGCATGGAACTCTGGGTAGGAGAGTGCAGACATATCTGTTACTGTATGCCAGATGCAGCACATCCAGGAGATGGAGAGACGTGATCTGGTCAGTGGTTATTGTTGTCAGCTATTACCACACGCGCTTGATGCAAACATTACTAGTATATAAAAATACTAGCAGCATGATTAACAGAATTCACCTGCCAGCATCTCACATCAAATCAAGATGATCAAAATTACAAATAGTTGCAAAATCCATAATCTCAGATCTTAAAGTTAATGTTTAAGTACTTTGTCTTGTTTGTGTATTAAACCTGTTAAGTTCTATCATCACCCTATACACCCAATATGTCACCAATAGGTACCAGATTTGGAATGTTGCCTTCCACTAACAGGACTGTGATTCATACTGGATCTGACTGTCGATGTTTGATGTGAAATACAATCAAATACAAATAGTATATGAAACAAATCAAAACACATTATCACCATGATCACAAGGACCATGTCTGACGTATTAACATAGGACCATGTTTGACGTATAACATAGGACCATGTTTGATGTATAACATAGGACCATGTTTGATGTATAACATAGGACCATGTTTGATGTATAACATAGGACCATGTTTGATGTATAACATAGGACCATGTTTGATGTATAACATAGGACCATGTTTGATGTATAACACATTATGATGTTGAGCATGCAAACCTGGAATGGTGAGCAGGGCACACACAAACACTGACACTAAATAAACACGATAGACACTGTCAATACTACCTCGTCTTAACTAGGTCAAGTATCTGAATATTTCATTTTGACATTAAAGCACAGATACTAAACCTTTACCTCTTCATAACTAACATAAAATTTCAAAACGAGCAATGTATATTGGAGTAAATCCTCACTCTGGTAGATCATTTGATTTACAGATAAAACCAACCCATGATGCTCTCCTAAGAATGCCCTCCAGAACCCATATGTAGAACTCTGGACACTGTAACACATCCCAGTGCAAGTCTAGCATGTCCAACAGCTTTACGAGATATTCTCATCGTGACGCCTGACAGTGACACACCGTGTATCAGCACTAACCAGCACACACTCAGGTAAAAGAAGGTTTGAGCACAGGACGGTAGGACAATACTCCACTCAGTGAATGGGGAGTTGGACACAGAGCGGAGATAGGCTGTGTTAAGCTGCACAACTACCCATCTTGCATGCTTGTCGGTGAGCAGATGGAAACTTCCGCTGTAACATGCCAGTCAATACTTACTTTAATCATGTTAACAGTCTAAATGAGACACACAGTTATGCCACAGGTTGCTGGTTTGGAATGTTGGCCACATGTGACATCTCATGCTACCACAGTGAAGTGAGCAAGATACAACTGGGGCTGGGATGACATGGTTGAGTGATCATCCACTGGGGACACTTCAAACCATGCATGCCACGAGTCAGCACATTTAAAAGTAGGCGGCAGCTATTGGTGTCATATGTTGCCGAGCATTTGATTTGTATTTGAACACATGAAATATGTCCTTGCACAAACATACATGTGTGTCAGTGTACCATGAAATCACCTAGTCCACTCCTGTAGCAGGCCATGTGGGAGTCACAATGGCTGTTACACAAGGTGTGACGCAACACTCAACATAATCATGTATAGGTTAACTTCAATCCCACAAGATGTAGAATATCTTGCTTCAAACATGTTAAAGCCAAAAAAAGCTATTATTTTTCAACATATCCAAAAGAGTGATAGTAAATGTTGGGAAAACAAACTTCCAAATATGGCATTCATAACACTGTTGGTTTGCACCAATGAATGAGGGTGTGAACATATTTCGAATTTAGCTTTGACACTAAATGCATTTACAGGTATTAATAAAAACATCAAAGACCGAATGTGTATGACAGCATCATCAGTTCCTGAATGTGTACAACATCGCTATTACATCCTGAATATGAACTGGGCACACTTCTATCTCAGACAACATATATACAAATATATTTCTCTACCTTTCAAAGTATTTATATTTCTCTACCTTTCAAAGTATTTTATGCCAAACATATTAACAAGGATAAGAAGGGTAACACTAACAGTAAAATGCAACAAATTAACACTACTACAAAACTATGTCATGGGACCCCTAATTACTGATTCCAAGGGTCATCCAAGTAAATATAAACATCCTGTCAAGTTATGAAATTATGTAGCGTACTGAACTGTAAGATTTAGTAATTATTTCAATTTCATGAACGTGTATTTCTTATCAACAATAGGTTACAATGAACATTCTTGTGCATTCCTCAGTATGCAGTATACATATAGATGTTTTCTGCATCCATTCTGCATGTTTGTGCGCACTAGCAGCACATTTCTGTGCCAGCTGAAACCAACATGTCCAGCACTAATTACTGCCAACATTGTTTGACATGTTAGCTTTCAAATATACCAGTGACTAAGTACTAGGATATGCAGACAAGCAGACAAGCATTCAGTCTGAAGTGATGTTGATATGTGAGAGATAGTAACAAGTCGCAGTCTTGATAACATGATTCCAGAGATCATAGTAACAGTCAATACATGCTTCCATGCTGAACTTCATTACTGCTAATTCTCAAGGGTGTGTAAACTGAACATTCATCCATATACACCATCCCTGTACCATTATATATACATGCATGGAGATAATGTCACACTCAACAGAAACAGAATGCAGCAGTGTACAAATTACAACTTCAGTTTGGTCAAGATTACAAGAAAAGGGCCTCAAAAGACATCATTTTGGAAACATGACCCCAGAAATCATGGTAACACAGTATCATGGCTTCTACATCTTAAAGTGAAGAGCAGTTATTGAGTTTTGTTATCAATACATAGTTTGAACGTACTCTCTCTATACCCAAACTGCCAAATGATATATACACAAATGATATCAAATAAATACAGACATGCATTGTGGGATAAGTATGCAATCATTCTCTGCTGTTAATAAACAAACTTAACACATTTGCCTGAATGGTGAGGCTGAGTTGATACAACCTCTGCTGCTGATTGCTGTCCTAACAAGCCTTGTGTGTTGACAAGGCTGGTGTGTATATGATATGAGAGTGGTCCTCACTCAACTTCCCAAAGCAGGTGAATCAGATTGTCAATACTCAAGTATTTTAATTTGAGAGGGAAGAAAAACCTGTGTTAAAAGTTGACAGAAAATACAGTGAGAAAGTGACACGTAGTTTCATTGGCTCATCTTGTCGCATGATATGGTGTTGTGTGTAGTTGTCTGGGGACTGTTTGTGTACAATTAGCAACATTCTGAGGGCAGTGTGAATGAAATATGTGGTAACTGAGTTTAATAAAGCCAAGTGGTTTTAAGAAGTTGTAACTTAAAAGACTTGCAGAAATGTTTCCAAGAATATGGTGGAAACACATAATGATTAACCTTGCTCAAAGGTTCCTGTATGATGTGTACTACATGGAAATGATGCAATGATAGGTAACATAGTATTGTTTCAAGCTATGAGACTCATCATACAATACATCAATTCATAACTCCAGTATCACAATACATATGACTCATAACCATTACCGGCTAAATTGATGTGAAAACATAGGAATAATAACAGACACTCTTCAAGAACCAGTTCTGCAGATTCTTTAGTATTTCCTGGATGACTATAAATAGATGAATATGTACAGGGCCCCCCAAGCAATATCTCCTTAGCAATATCCCATCTATGCTATCTGCAATTTGAAAATAAGTACTGTATTATATATATATAAGAATGCGAAACACACCAATATCAGCATGATATGCAACATGGGCTCTCCATATAGTTAGACCTCTGCTATATGGATTTAACATTTGAGTAATATGTCATTAACATGATTAATCATTAAGTAAATGGCAAATACAGGATGTATATTTTACTGTATATCTACCTGACCTAATACTTTTGATATAACTGTTGTCAAGCAAAACCAAAGGATAATTTACTCAAACTTGACAAGTTACAGTAACAGCGAGAGTAGATTGTTGCCAGTGTTTGTGAAGAGAATTTAGTTACAGTCATGGCGATAAATAGTATATGAACATAACTTCCCCACAAGTCACCACAGATTACATATTCAGTTGGCTCAGTAGAATATGGGGTGTGGTTAATTCCTATGGTTTATGTAAGCTTTGGGGGATGTATACTTCGTGTTATTACAGCTATATACCAATATACTAAATGTAGTGTTTGTTATGGACAGTTTAACAATGATTAAATTAAGTATAGTGGACTCTTAAATAAACAAAAAACTGTGAATTTTAATGATTCCCTTTAGTCTGATACACAGAATACTGCTTCAATTTCAAACTACTGATCGATTTGTTCAGTCTCTTATTTGTTATAAATTCACTGAGAAAAAGTGAGTAAAGAACTGTCAGATATGGAGTGATCAGAGAAAACGGTTTATTACAATCAAGGACATTCCGACGTCTGTGGCTTGTATTTCATTTTTGGCAAGAGAAACCTGTTCATATGACCATGACATTGAAAACACTGCCCCAACCACCACGCGACATACGCAAGTCGCATGGAAGCGATTGGACTCTAAAACAATCTGAGATTATCAACAATGTTGAATTTGAGAGAAATACGTTGATACCTAGTGTTTGACAGATTCATTGATAAAACATAGAGGAAATACTATGCATAAAACACTACCCAAAGTGGGAACACACCTACCTTGTTTCCTAAACCGGGATCGGTTATACACACGACCTGTCGTCAAACGACACAATCAGGTGATTAATAATAATTTCAATGACGGCCTGTATGTCTCGTATCCCGAAAACAATAAAAACATACAGATCTATTCATAAAATCCAGTTGTTTGGAAGTACATAGTTGAAATCTGTGTCATATCGAAACCTGCCTCCATTACAAGAACCTGACGGCGGTTACAGATTTGCGCTTCCGCTCACGACAGGATAAATAGTTCTATGTTTAGGGAATCTTCATGCCCAAAACCAAGAATGCAGCTTCTAATGTAGGTTTATACTGGTTTCGTTATTGTAATGAATGTTCAAACATAAAATAAGATGACAATATTTTCTTCATGGAATAAGTGGGTTATCCGCGCAAGGATACTCGGAAGATTTGTGGTGCTGCCATCTATGAAAAGAGAACGTAACTTTGCCGGTCCCGCTCACCGGGTTGAGAAATCGCTTTAGAAATAAAAAATGTGAGCGTGTCATTTCTTCTTGACAAGTTTACCGATGGGTTTAGATATATATTTAATTTTGTAAATTTATATTATTGACTATTCAGGTATGGCTTTCGTCCATGCGAAATCAGTATCCGGTGGATATGCATTCGTTCTGACGCCGGCCCTTTCGACTAGCAGTGGGCGGTGGTTCTCGTCAAGTGGTTTGAAAACTCACTTTTTGACACACAGACACGAGGTTCAGTACTCAAAATTAATACACTTGTGTGGAGTCCTGCATTCATATTTTATTCAGTGTTATTAAATATAACCCAGACAACAGCACAAATGTACGTATATACTGCCTATTACATGGTCACCGTTTATTAAGTTGGGACTTATACGGCGCTTGTAACAATATTCCAATACCACGAAGTGAGTCGTGTGTGTGTGCGTGCGTGTGTGCGCGTGTGTGTGTCTATTTAGATTTATATTTACATTTCTACTGTTATAATTTAATGACATGACATGTTACTTCAAACGAATATTTCGTGTATTTTCTGAGGTAGGTCTTACTTTAACCAAAAGCTTTAAGATATGTACACGTTCATGCCAGTACTACATATTATGATTAGACAAATTCACAGATATAATCCGAACTCATTCAAGGAATTATGGAGGCATATAATTTGCATTATGTATCGCATGTCTTGTGCCAGTATGCCAAGACGGTAGATACGTAAGGATAAGATATATAGATGAAAAACTTCTAAACAATTAATTATAATATATTTACAATCCTATGTGTATTTACATAAGGACCAGGTTTACCTGAGATCATCCGCAGTGTATGCATTGTAAAAAGAAAACTACTTCGTAACATCCCCACACACCCACCACTATCCTGTACATGGACTTGTTTGATAACGATGTTAGAATCTGAACACTGAAACGTCACTCCTCATTTTAAATAAAGACGTTGTTCATCCATCTATCTTATCCTTACTTAGTACTCCAACTTCTATGTCTCTCTCTCGTTAGCTCCAATTCCACTCAGAACTCAAAATAAAGATTTATTGCACCTACTTTACTGTGTCCATTAATCGAGGTTTGCTTCTGTCCCCCTGTCTCTCACTGCCACAACACGAAGGCGGCTGTTATAGATGAGTTTTGTTTCTGTTCGATTACAGGTGATATATTTCTACCTGTTATCAGGAATCTTCCTGCATACCAAACTGGACCCCTTCCCCGCCCCAGGTCCATGGAGGTTGGGCATATGGGGTGAAGGTCGCGTTCAAGATTACTACATACAACCAAGTTCGGACACAGATTAAGAATAGAAAATACACGCATAGGAGTTATACATTGACGATGGTGATGATGATGATGATGATGGTGATTATTATTTGGATATGTTACTTGCGTTTTCTGTCATGTTGCTCATTTCGCACATTAGTTTGGCAGCATTAAATCAACGTCTAACGCCTGCGGGCTCTGTCTCGGATTCCCCGGATATACCATATATATATGGTAAAAAACCTGTAGGTCAACGTACGATTAGAATTAATCCTGAGTTAGAGTTGCGTTTAAAAGCTTAACAATTTACAACACATTTGACTGTGAAAAACACCTTCGTTTTATTGAGATACATGTCTATATTTTCTCTGTACAGTTGATGACATGGGCAAGAGAGAAGTGAGATTGAACAGTATTCCAGTTATATCACGGCGCTTCGGGGAATCCGAGACAGTGCCGGCAGGCGTTAGACGTTGATTTAATGCTGACAAACTAAGATGCGTAATGAGGGAACATTCTAGATTCGAATCTACGAGCATAAGGTTCGGACACACCAAAGGGAAGCAACTCCACTTACACCCAGCACACTGGGTCACCCGTACGTCCTTTCCTATACAAGAGTGCTCGGTCGTGCATGGTCTCCTGAGGCGTTCAAGATTTCATATCCCTACATCGATGTTCATGCTAATGTTCATGATAATCACTGGATTTTCTGTTCTTGTCCAGACTGGATTATGTTGTGGATTATCCCTGATTATACACAGACTATATGAAGCTGAAACATTTGGCGTTACTAAATGCAACAAAGAACAACAGCAAAACATCAAAAACACCATTAGTTTACGAGCGTGCGAGATCGCGTGTTAAATCGGAAACAGGTCAAAAGGACCAAAGGACCCAAACTGGAAAAGTCAAAAGGGCCAAGGGAAAGTTAAAAGGGCAATAGATTCAAGTCAAAAGGGCCAAACTTTTAGGAAATATTAAGATTAGAAGCAATTCATTACATGTTGTTGAAGTAGTTCTAATCCTAAACCCTTTTAACTTTCCCTTGGCCCTCCTGACATTTCTTTGGCGCTTTTCACTTTTCGAGTTTTGTCCCTTTTGTCCTGTTCCCGCATATAATCTCTTCGACATTGAACATACACTACACGTATACGGAAATTAGTGCGCACAGTGTCTAATGTGTCGAGATCGTAAAATATAAAGAGACTTGATCTATGATCAATAAAGGTTGTGTTTTCTGCAACAAAGCCGATGAGACGTCACGATAAAATGGAACTCACTTACTCAAGTGAAAATAACAACTGAAGCCCTTTTGACTTTCCTTTGGCCCTTTCAACTTTTCTTTGGCCCTTTTGACTTTTTCAATTTTGGCACTTTTGTCCTTTGGCCCTTTTGACTACAACCCACCTAAATCACAATGTAATCGGTAATTTGTTTCTAGAAACATTGTGTCGATTTTTAACACAATTTGGGGCCATTTCTTTTGAAATGTGTACATTGTTCGTATAAGTTGTCCATTTTGCAATTTGTATCAACCAAGATGGCCGTCGTGTAGTCGATGGGGTTATATTCGTATCACTCCAGAGGGAAAATGACAAGTGCTCTTATAGTACAGAAAGAAGAGACACAGGTCATTAGGTAGGAAACGTTATTGGAATACATTAAAACTCATGCTAGTGGTATGACAACTGTAAAAAATCCCGCTAGGAACACAAACCTTCTGTTTTCTTTAGACCTTTAGTTTTCGTGCGTTATTGTATGCCCTCTTTAGGTAAGGTCTTTGTACAGAATATGTGGCAAGCTTAGATTATCATAGCTTTTCTGAAAATAGAGAAAGTCTTTGGGCTGCTTTTTTGATATTTTATGAATATGATATAGTTTTTTGAACCTTTTTTACCTGTCAAATATTTTGATTTCAGAGACTTGATGTTAGTCAACTATTCTGGGTTAAAGTGTTAGCCAACAAGGGCCCATAAGCGATCACAAATAATTAGTGCTTGTTTATCAAGTCATTAACATCCGATTGTTTACCTGTACAAATGTATGTGCATGGATTTTCTCCACAACCCTCAAAACATCATACAAAATGTATGGAGTTCCCCCAATTAGTGGATGAGTTCATTAAAGAGACAAATGTAGCCTATACACTGCCTCACAACTAACTATGATCTAAGGATGATAGAGGTTTGTCAGATCTGTGAAAAGAGAGCTATAGCTGGCAGCCTCAGGCAATTTACATGTAAAGGCTGTGCCCACTTTCCTGCATTGTTGCCAATTTGTATGTGCAATCAGCAACAAACTTAGCCCCCTGTCCCCCAACGCAGGTTGAGAGTTGTGAATAGGTACTACAGTCAAGACATGACCATAAATTGTGTCATGGCTGTAGGACCACAGAGAGGCTCCCCCTCCACATCCCCTTCCACCACCCGACCACCAAATAAGAAATAACATCACAAATATCAACAATCATGTCTATTTGATGTTTTGTGTGCATTTATATTCACTTTGAGAGAGTCGCACTGCTACAGTATATATGATGGTATGTTTAGGATCCTACAGTGTATCAGTTGTATGTAATAAAGGTCTAACCAAGATATTCTCCACAATTTCCACCATAACTGATTATTATGTTCTTAAATGTTGCAGGCACCTTCTTCAGAAATTTGGTTTCTGGGATAATAAAAGAAGATTGGAGATGCTTTCTGCAGAGTATGTTGCTATTCCCATCACTGTAGATGCTCTCAGTTGGGCGAACCTGGGGCTTCAGGACAGGTGCCTTCCATGTCAGGTGATGTCAGAGCAAAATAATTTACAGGCAGTTGTCACTTACTTACAGGTTACATACATGGCTGCATTTTATAATTGTATGCATCCAATCTTCTCGTTATGAGGTCAGCTGAATACTAAATAGGTATCTTTGCCTAAGTTTCAGTATATATTAGTCTTAGTTTATGCACAAGTATCTATCTTGGCAAGAAGAAATTAAATTTGAATCAGGCTTGATACAATGGCAGACTGCTACTCATCTGTTTTTTTTCACTGTTGTTAAATGTGTATACTAATACATTAATAACTGTCCCTTTCAAACATATTACCAGTAAATTACATGACAATTTAAACAAGGAGAGATCCTCTTTCTCAAGTGTTGTGTTTCATATCTTATGTACCCAAATCAGTTTTTCAATGGGAACAATTATTTCTCCATGTTACTAAAGATAAAACAAGTGGATCTTGCCCCATCAAAGACATCAGTCCTGGAACCTCCAGCTGTCAAACTCAAGAGGCATGTTGGACAATTACTGGCTGACTCAGGCAGAGTTGTCTCCCCTGAACTTCTGGAAGATTTGCCATCTCGCTGGGAAAAACATGGGGATCTCATTTTGTTTTCCAACTCAGCCTTCACCAGTGATGTTTGGTCCCAACTAGGTGAGCTTGTCAAGATGTAGGATGAAGTCCACTTTCTACCATCACTTCCTGCAGAAGAAAAGTAACAGAAGGAACTTTAGAGTCCAACCTATAAAACTATGTAAGACTGATGATTTGGCTAGGATTGACTAAAGTGGCAGATGTTTGGACTGGCATCACTTTGAGTTTGATATGCCATGATGTAACTGATCTTGTCCCAGCTCACTCACTATTTGTGGTTGTATTATGGATGACTAAGTTCAGGGACTCCAGAAACTCTACCTCATGTTTAGCAGGTACTGTGGACTGTTTCCATGTCTACTTTTCCAGGCTTTCCACTGTGGAGGGTAGTGTGTCAGTGTCTAGGTGGGTCGCGCCTGGCAAGGAAGTCAAGCGTCTCAGCAGATGGCTTCCGTAGCCCCCAGGTGGCTCTGTTGTATGGAGATGATAGCTGGGTGGAGCATGAGGACAATGGCATCAGGCAAGGGAGACAACTCAAACCTTCATATCTGTAAAACTCCTATCATACTTTTAGGTTGGTGCAGTAAACTCTCAACCTTTGGCCTATGAATAACATTACAATTGTCATCATATTAGCCAAAAAATATCCCATCCAATTCCATATTACGTACTACCTCATGTCAGCCACTTCTCTCTATAAACTGATGACCCATCTTGGAATAAAAACCAATTTCATGAAAAAAATGCCCTCTGCTCCCTTTTACTAGATTTGGGTTTAGTATCTTATGTCTTATGGCATTAAATATGAATAGATTCGTCAATACTAATGACAACAAGTGGTGATGTCGGGGAGTTTTTCCACAGGTACAGCTATGACGTGACACGCTGTATGTTTAGTATTGGAAACATCACTGAGAAACTTCGTGTTGCACAGATGGATTGCAAGGGGGAGACTGTGGTGGATCTGTATGCAGGTCAGGCTGGCTGTGGTCCTTCTATCACCCTTAGAACATACTAAAACTTGCTTTATCAACATGGAATTCAATAACATGAAGCTATATACAGGTCTATTCATATTATGGTGCTTGGCCACAAATTTGACACTACAGTTGTCAGGAATGCCCTACACAGATTAACGACTCTTTCCAGTCATATATATGAGTACACTACCTAAATGCATGTCATATAGTCATGTGATCCTTCACACATTGTGTTTTCTTTCTTTACTCCGAGCTGTTGTTTAGTGTTTCTTGTCCAGTTCTGTGACCGAGAGGAGAAGAGCTGTAATGATGTTGTGTATTTGCAGGAATAGGCTACTTCACCCTTCCATATCTGGTGCATGCTGGGGCGGACCGAGTGATTGCCTGTGAATGGAACCCTGCTTCTGTGGAGGCACTCTGCCGTAACCTGCAGCTCAACGGTGTACAGGACAGGTGCACTGTCTACATGGGGGATAACAAGCACGTGAGTACAGGTGCACTGTCTGCATGGGGGATAATAGGCAGGTGAGTGCAGGTGCACTGTCTACATGGGGATAACAGGCAGGTGAGTGCAGGTGCACTGTCTATACAAGGGGATCTACATGCAGGTGGGATAACAGGCAGGTGAGTGCAGGTGCACTGTCTACATGGGGGATAACAGGCAGGTGAGTGCAGGTGCTACATGGGGATCAGGCAGGTGAGTGCAGGTGCACCGTCTACATGGGGATAACAGGCAGGTGAGTGCAGGTGCACTGTCTACATGGGGATAACAGGCAGGTGAGTGCAGGTGCACTGTCTACATGGGGGATAACAGGCAGGTGAGTGCAGGTGCACCGTCTACATGGGGATAACAGGCAGGTGAGTGCAGGTGCACTGTCTACATGGGGGATAACAGGCAGGTGAGTGCAGGTGCACTGTCTACATGGGGGATAACAGGCAGGTGAGTGCAGGTGCACTGTCTACATGGGGATAACAGGCAGGTGAGTGCAGGTGCAACATGGGGCAGGCTGCAGGTACATGGGGATAACAGGCAGGTGAGTGCAGGTGCACTGTCTACATGGGGATAACAGGCAGGTGAGTGCAGGTGCACTGTCTACATGGGGATAACAGGCAGGTGAGTGAGTGCACTGCCTACATGGGGGATGCACAGGTGAGTGCAGGTGCACTGTCTACATGGGGGATAACAGGCAGGTGAGTGCAGGTGCACTGTCTACATGGGGATAACAGGCAGGTGAGTGCAGGTGCACTGTCTACATGGGGATAACAGGCAGGTGAGTGCAGGTGCACTGTCTACATGGGGGATAACAGGCAGGTGAGTGCAGGTGCACTGTCTACATGGGGGATAACAGGCCAGTGAGAACAAGGGTACTGTCTACATGGGGATAATAGGCAGGTGAGAACTGGGGTACTGTGTACATGGGGGATAATAGGCAGGTGAGTGCAGGTGCACTGTCTACATGGGGATAATAGGCAGGTGAGAACTGGGGTACTGTCTACATGGGGGATAATAGGCAGGTGAGTGCAGGTGCACTGTCTACATGGGGATAACAGGCAGGTGAGAACTGCAGGGTACTGTCTACATGGGGATAACAGGCAGGTGAGAACTGGTGCACTGTCTACATGGGGATAACAGGCAGGTGAGTGCAGGTACTGTCTGGGTGACATGGAGTACTGTCTACATGGGATAACAGGCAGGTGAGTGCAGGTGAACTGTCTACATGGGGATAACAGGCAGGCAGGTGTACTGTCTACATGGGGATAATAGGCAGGTGAGTGAGTGCAGGTGTACTGTCTACATGAGGGGTAGAAGATAACAATGGGGCAGGTATAGTGAGTGCAGGGGTACTGTCTACATGGGGAGATAACAGGCAGGTGAGTGCAGGTGTGCTGCATGTAGAAGATAACAGGCAGGTGCTTTGCTATACATGAAGATAACAGATGGTGAGTGCAGGGTACTATATATGTAGAGTGCATGGGTGCAGTGCAGATGTGCTATATATGGGGGATAACAGATAGGTGAGTGCAGGTGTGTCTATATGGAAGATAACAGAGATAACAGGCAGGTGAGTGCAGGTGTAGTGCAGGTGACTACATGTAGAAGATAACAGATAGGTGAGTGCAGGTGTACTGTCTATATGTAGAAGATAACAGATAGGTGAGTGCAGTGTGCTATACTAGAAGATAACAGATGGTGAGTGCAAGATAACATATGCAGGATGAGTGCAGGTGTACTATATATGTGAAGAGAGAGATAACAGTGCAGGTGAGTGCAGGTGATGACAGATGGTATGCATGTAGAAGATAACAGATGGGTGAGTGCAGGTGTGCTATATATGTAGAAGATAACAGATGGGTGAGTGCAGGTGTACTATATATGTAGAAGATAACAGATAGGTGAGTGCAGGTGTACTGTCTACGTAGAAGATAACAGATGGTGAGTGCAGGTGTAGTGTCTACGTAGAAGATAACATCCTGTGGATGTCCCGTCTGATGGATGTTGTTGGTTTTGCAGGTGTGTCCTGTGGATGTGGCAGATAGAGTCAACCTGGGTTTGATCCCATCCTCCGAGACAGGCTGGCCCGTGGCCTGTGCAGCTCTTAAATCTGATGGTGGTGGGGTTCTACATATCCATGGAAATGTGACATCTAAGCACCCAGCATGCAATACTGACACAGATAACCTTGAACATGTGGTTGCTGAAGGTTGTGAAGGTCATTCAACTCTCTCTGTTCACCAAAAGCAGCTTTGATTACTGAACCCAACACAGTGTGTTCTTGTGATGTGAAGTCTGTTGGAAGATCCTGTAAAGAGGCTCAGGAATCAAGTGGGGTAATAATCCCACCTGAGACTGATGACTGTAACTGTGGACATTCAAGATCAAACCCTAAACATACTGACTCAGACTCGGGAGTAGTAACAAAACCAGACGCCAGAAACGTTTCCTGCAACAAGAAATTGAGACCTGAGTGGAAGAGTTGGTCCGAGGGAGTGAGAGATAAGGTACAGAGCCTCCTTGAACGTGGCAATAACACTTGGACTGTCACCATTCTACATACTGAACATGTCAAGTCTTATGCCCCTCACATAGATCATCTAGTTCTCGACCTTGACTGTCGACCTCATACATGACAACACTATACTGGGAGATGGACGACAGATTATTAATGAAGGATTAATGTTTCTTTCTTCCATCTTAGCACCAGTGACATTAAGGAGGACAGTGTGACGAGGAGAGGTGGACATTGATGAAAGAATAATTATTTTATGTTTATTATTAGTTTCAACATAAATTGGTATTTATCTATGCAGTACTTGTTTTTTGTATACATTGTTGAAATGTATTGGTTATTTAGCAAATGTTTCATGGGTGATTTCAGAAGTTAAAAGAAAACATATAGCATCGCAGACATACTGGGTGACCATGGGATTCCAGCACTATGGTTTGTAACCTATTACTGACCCTGTCAAATATGTTGTGCAGATTTCTTCCCTTTAGCTGTTCCAGGATCTCCTTGCTCTGCCTTAGATTCCAACTAATGAGCCGTGCAGCATGAAGCTGCACACAGTGAATTACTGGTTTACATCTGGTGAAGGCTGCTTGTCCAGCAGTCAGCAATATTCCAGTGATATTCTGTAATTGATGCAGACGTCCACAGTCTGACTACCCCTATCTGAGAGGATGACACCCACAGTCTGACCATCTCCATCTGAGAGGATGACACCCACAGTCTGACCATCTCCATCTGAGAGGATGACACCCACAGTCTGACCATCTCCATCTGAGAGGATGACACCCACAGTCTGACCATCCCCATCTGAGAGGATGACACCCACAGTCTGACCATCCCCATCTGAGAGGATGACACCCACAGTCTGACCATCCCCATCTGAGAGGATGACACCCACAGTCTGACTACCCCATCTGAGAGGATGACACCCACAGTCTGACATCCCATCTGAGAGGATGACACCCACAGTCTGACCATCTCCATCTGAGAGGATGACACCCACAGTCTGACTACCTCTATCTGAGAGGATGACACCCACAGTCTGACCACCTCCATCTGAGAGGATGACACCCACAGTCTGACTACCCCATCATACAGTCTGACTACCCCATCTGAGAGGATGACACCCACAGTCTGACCATCTCCATCTGAGAGGGAGACAGATGACACCCACCACAGTCTGACTATCTCCATCTGAGAGGATGACACCCACAGTCTGACCACCTCCATCTGAGAGGATGACACCCACAGTCTGACCATCTCCATCTGAGAGGATGACACCCACAGTCTGACCAACCCTATCTGAGAGGATGACACCCACAGTCTGACCTATCTGAGAGGATCACATCTGACCAGCCCATCTGAGAGGATGACACCCACAGTCTGACCAACCCTATCTGAGAGGATGACACCCACAGTCTGACCTACCCTATCTGAGAGGATGACACCCACAGTCTGACCACCCCCATCTGAGAGGATGACACCCACAGTCTGACCACCCCCATCTGAGAGGATGACACCCACAGTCTGACCACCCTATCTGAGAGGATGACACCCACAGTCTGACCACCCCATCTGAGAGGATGACACCCACAGTCTGACCAACCCCATCTGAGAGGATGACACCCACAGTCTGAGAGGACCACACAGTCCTGACAACCCTATCTGAGAGGATGACACCCACAGTCTGACCAACCCTATCTGAGAGGATGACACCCACAGTCTGACCAACCCTATCTGAGAGGATGACACCCACAGTCTGACCCACTACCCCTATCTGAGAGGATGACACCCACAGTCTGACCAACCCTATCTGAGAGGATGACACCCACAGTCTGACTACCCCTATCTGAGAGGATGACACCCACAGTCTGACCATCTCCATCTACCAGCATGTAACCATCGTCTTTCAAAAGTAGTCTCCCTTTGATTACACTGCCACAATTGCAGTTCTTTTTTCAGGCGTCTTCTTCTATTCTCCCCGGTTCCTGTGGGGCGTTGTATGATGGCCCGTTTTATCTGCAGTTGGACTACTGATACCGACACGTTAGGCTACTGTCAGCAGAACAAGAGAAGGAATTCACCTTAGAGTGACTCAGGGGCGGATACAGCTTTTAGAGAAAAGGGGGGTGGGTGGGGTGCCCACTATAGAGAAAGGAGGGTTGCACACTTCATTTTCATGAGAATTTCAATGGTCATTTGATAATTTTTTACCCCTGTGCGCGCGCGCACGCACACACGCACATTCGCAGCCTATGGTGACTGACTCCTCTTAACGTACCTGCAGCGTACCTGTTAGCATTGTTCCTGCGGGTGCTTGTTATGTTTATACCACTAGAGGGTGTGTTATGTCCATTGTCCTGGCAGGTTGATTTTCTGTGTATCAACCTTCTGTCTGCACGTGCAGAGGTTGATATGTGGATAACAACCTTGACGGTGCAGGAAACGCACGTGCAACAAGCAATGTACGAGTCCATGCGGCGCCCACGTGGTATAAGTAGGTTAGCACCCCCCTTCTGCGGGTGATATGGATTCAACGCTCTCGCCTGACGGCTCGAGCGTTGAAATCCATATCACCCTTGAGGAGGGTGCTAACGTATACATGTGCATGTGTCGATAAGTCGTTTTCCCAGAGCAAGCCGACTGAGCTACCACGCCGCAGATTGACATGAAAAACAAAGTACACTCACTCCGACAACATTTGATTGCCATTGTGGCGTCAGGCACGGCAGCGTCAAGTTCCATGTTTTAACGTCTATTGGTAGGACACAGCAGAGGATCAAACCACCAACATTATCCCTGACCTCCTCACACAGGCGACGGTCAACACCGTGAACAAACACATTCTGCGCATATGTTAGTGTGATTCATTGGCGGATCCGTGGGTCGGAGGGTGGGGGTTCTGTCCCCACCCTGATAGTGAAAATGGGTGAGTGAACTAGTGAGTGAGTTGGTTGTTGTTTGCAGCAGTATTCCTGCAATATCTGGGCAAGGGAAATGGGCTTCACACATTGCACCAATTTGGGGAATCAAACACGAATCTTCGGCGTGACGAACGAAGGCTTTTACCTCAAGGCTAATTAACCCACTAACCCCAGTTGTCGACAAAAGGGTTGAGTGAGTGAGTGAGTTTGGTTTTACGCTGCTTTTAGCAATATTCCAGCAATATCACGGCTGGGGGACACCAGAAATGGGCGTAGCACATTGTACCCGTGTGGGGAATCGCACCCTAGTCTTCGGCGTGACGAGCGAACGCTTTAACCAGTAGACCACTCCACCGCCCCACAAAAGGGTTGAAGTTGTCAGTGTGTGCACATAACATGATAGGGCATACACGCGGGGTGTATTGTGCTTTCAGGTATATATCATCACAATAAGTGTGTGTTCAAGTGTATGCAGTGGAGTGGCATATAAACCAGCGATTAGAACGCAGAGTGTTCAGAGATATGTTTGATCACTTACTCAACCTGATTGTGATATGAGAAACAATGGACCATGAAGAATATCGGTTCACATTGGTCCTTTGTTCGAAGATGATGATGCCTGCTTTTTATATAACGTGGCAACAAAGCATGACCTAATAATACCACGACTGCTTCACGCATGCGCGAAGTAGTTGTGTCAATACATGCCCATGCTGGAACTATGCGCGTCGTGCGTGCCATGCCGTACACTAGACGTAAACAATGCGCCAACAATACTTGACATAGTCGTAAATCAGTCGTGACAATGCGCACCATTTTCGATCACGCATTGCGTGATAAGTGTGTAACGTATGCGTAAACAGCACGCGAACAGTGCGCAAACCACTCTTCACGCTTTCATGCGTAATATCGAAATTACACGCATTGCCACGACAAATTGCACGGCAGTTCGGAGGCAAAATTCATGCAAGTGTCAAGGTGACATTGGAGGTTGATGACGTAAATTCGTCGTGGACTGTTGTGAAGTGTGTGTAAACTGTGGGACTGCGTGCAGTGCGCAAAGAAAAAGTGTGTTTCTCTATTTCATTAAATATTTTATTAAAAGAAACCCCAAAAGATATTTTTGACTTTGGGGATAACCAGAAGGTGTTGATTCCCTGATCTCAGAGATCTAGATGGTGCATAAGCTTGAAGAAGATTTGAGAGGTAGACTGGAGCCATGTTAGTCATGCACTGGTATGCAAGACAGAGGAGTTTGAAGGAGATTCTGTGTTTCACGGGCTGCCAATGGAGGGTCCTTTAGAGTTGGTGTGATGTGCTGTTTTCTGGAGATCTGGGAGGTAATGCGAGCAGCTAAATTTGGTATGCGTTGGAGTTGGTCAGTGACACAAGATGGAGATCCGGTCAAAAGGCTGTTACAGTAGTCAATACGAGATGTGACTAGGCTGAGGCAGAGAGTTTTGGAGGCATCTTTGGTAAGAACGGTCTGGCCTTGCTGATATTGTGGAGATGGAAGTAGCAAGTTTTAGTAACATACTTGACGTGTTCTGTCATACTTAGATCTTGATCGATGACAACATCCAGACCCTTGACAGTGGAAGAAAGTGGAATGGTTGCTCCACAGACAGACCACTGGTAATGACACACTGCTTGCGCTTTCCAGCCTGTCTCAGAAGAATGGACATTTGATGACATCCATGAATACAGTCTGATGTCTGATGGAGAGACGCTTTAGCTGACTCTGTGTTTGGTTGAAATAACTTACACAGCTGCGTGTCATCTGCGTAGAAGTGGTCAAGATTGTGATCTGCTACAACAGAGCCAAGTGGAACAGTGTAGAGGGTGAAGAGGATCGGACCAAGCACCGATACTTGAGGGACTCCGCACTCAAGCCTAGATGCGGTTGACACATTTCGGTTTGAGTCCTGTCCTATAGCTAGAATAAAGCTGAATCCTTGATGCCAAGCTCTGTATATCAAGTCTCTTGTGGAGTCTCTGATGATCAATTGTGTCAAAGGCACTGCTTAGGTCAAGTAATGTGAGCAGGGCCACTTGTCCTGTGTCAATATCACATCGTAGGTCATTCAGGATCTTCAACAGAGCCGTCTCTGTGCTGTGGTGTGCTCTGTAGACTGATTGGAACACCTCATAGAGGTTATGTCAGGAAAGGTGGCCCATGAGACGACTGGAGACTGCATGTTCAATGAATCGGATCAAGTGAACAAGTTGTTCTTTTTGTAGATTTCAGTAGTTTAGTAACTTTAGTGTAAGTGAAACTATCCATATGAGTAAGAGGTGTGCCATCAAACATTTTTGGAGGAAAATCAGCTTCATCCACAGCCACAGAAGACGGAATCTTGTCATGAATGTCTTGGA